TACCTCGTCGAATTCTTCTTTAGTTTTCATTTGAGAACCTATAACTTTTACATATCTACCTACACGATCGCCTCGAGGTTTGTAGCTAAAAATTTACAAATTAAAATAATAATTAATAATTTTTATTTTATTTGAATTTGTTATTACTATATAAAATTTAACGATAACTCACTATTCAGATATATCCGCAATTTTACGATACAAAAAGTCTTTTGCTACATAAAATCCTATGTCACTGCTCGCCACAGAGTAGAATACAGTGGCAGCGTCTTGCTTGCGAATAATTGAATTATCAAGTGACCAATCCAAATATCTAAATAAAATTAAAAAAATGTTTAAATGTTTTGTCTGTACCTACTACGCATAGAGTTATTAATACCTGTTCAACAACCAAGTTTCTGAACTACATCCTAATGCTGAGAGTAATTTCGCCTTTTCAGACCCCACATTGGAACGCTGATAACGTTCCCATAAAAAGTCCCATTCTTCTACACCTCCGTATTTTATCGCTTGACAATAAATAACGGGTTTCAGTTCTCTAGGCAATCTAATATATTTGGATTACAGTTAGTTTGTATTTATAGTTTAATTAAATATCGATAAAACTCACATATTATTATTATCCGGGTCTTCAATTTTCATCCACTTGCTAAATAACTCTAGAGCTTGTTCAGTGCAACCTTTTAGTTTATGACGGCAGGCTACGGCAGTCACAAGGTTTTTAAAACGGATTTCTTCAAACCCACTGAGTTCGACGGCCATGTCTCGGAATTCACTGTACACAGGTGACAACAATCGTTGCATATAGTTCTGAAACCACGTTACATTTAACAACATYAATATGAGAGGAAAGTATATTATATTCAGGATGTTTTGTTAATAACTAACAGGGTTCTTGACTTATTGCTATAATATTATTTTAACCCTTATTTTTATAAATGAAACCACTATAAACTTTTGATTTTTATATGGCAATTTATGAATAAAATTTACGAAATGGAAATGAAAACTATTTTTTTTTTGTGAATTTTAATTTTGGAATAATCCGTTAGGTAAGATAATAGTCAGATATAGTAGATCAATGTAAGGTGTTTTTTGTAGGTGCTGTTATATTTGTCGTTTATAAAGATCAGAAGTTAACATATTTTGTCCAAATTATTAGATAACCATAGTTGGTATCTATAATAAATATTTATTTTCATACTAATAATAAATGATACGACGATTAGACATTATAACTTATCCATGAGCTTATTATCTAATATTTATGTAAGTCATGTAATAAGTGTTTATAAGCCGTCCTGATGACTCTTATTCAAAGATTATTGATTTGTATAACTGACYAAAAATTAATAAGAACAAATGTAAACAAACATAAAAAGCTTCTCCTATATCATATAAATAMAAACGCAGAAGTTCATAAAAAAAATAGGTTTACAAATTTTTGTTATTAAATATAGGTGTTACCATTTAAAAGTTTGAAGTTGATTCATATTTATTATATAACAAACAATGTGAACATTTTAGGAATATTAATTATATTTAGATTTCATTAAATTTCAACATTTCCAAAAATTAAARTTAAAAAATTGAAACTTTTCAAAATGATAAGTGTCTTATGTTAAATGGCCCTGTATTGATGATTGTTACGTAAATTGTAAGCTTGTATTGGATTAGTACTATTCAAGGATGAACAAATAACCCAGTGGTCCTTTATTTTTAAGAACAAAATAAAAAGTTCCTTTATACATACTTGAAACACTCCTTGATTTGGGGTCCTTTTCAWTAATTTATTTATAGGGCTCAAGCCGCCCAAAGCAGCCAACCACGGTGCGTACTCTTTTTCGTGTTTTAAATATTTCAAAAGTTGGAACGTTATCCCATAGTCCATATCACCAACTTGTGAAAAACTAAATGAATCGTCGATCAGCTGTACTCGGTTTAACTTGTGTATAGTTTTGTATTTGCTCGGATCGTTCAACGTAGAAACGATACCCATCCAGTTTCGTGTATCGTATAAGACTCTGAATAACCCTAAAAAAAATATGAAAATTATGGATTTTAATTATTTGTCAAGCGTCTAAAACGATTTGATTCAATAAAAGTCCATAATATGAGACCTACCAGCCATCTGCATGTTATAGATGACCCACTCGCTGTCTTTAGGCAGTGGCGTGGTGAGGTTGTTGTTTTCGCAATTCAACCACGACTCAGCTTTTGTCTGGTTAAAGTCAGMTTCCTTAGAAGTAGTCATAGTAATTGGTATCCACCAACAGCTTTTATTTTCGGTACCGTTTGATTTGATCGTCAGAAACCGTTCCTGTAATACGTGTATGATAAAATATTCATATATCTTGTATTTTTTCAAAAAACATATTATATAATAAGAAAGCCAATTATTATTGTTCATGAGTTTACCTGTGACAAAGTAACCGTATCCGCGGAATAATCCCGGACAACTTTCAATACGGGATAACCGGTTTGTAGCGTCCATGTGTCCATTATTTGTTTAACGGTGAGATTTTTGTCCAAAGTTCCTTGGCGGTGAGCTTCCTCTGTCAATGAACTCCACAGATCGTCCTGTTCGGCGTTGGAAAACTTATGTTTGTTTATGTAATTCCTAATGCCTTGTTTGAACGTATCTTCACCAAGGAACATGTTCATCATGTGCAATAAAAATGAGCCCTTAGTGTACGATATTGTGTCAAAAATCTGTGCTATTTCATCGGGATGTCCAACAGCCACCGATACGGGGTGTGACGATTGAAGCGAATCCAGATCCAAAACGCGTAAAAAGTTTTGGACGGTTTCAACTTGGAAAGAGTTCCATTCTGGATACAGCTATGTAGTATAAAATGAAAATAGCATAACAATATGATCATGTTTTTGCAAAATAAATTAGAAATTCAACCGTCTGATGCTAATGAAACTTACGAAATCTACTCCTCGGGCTGCAACGTACGTGGCAAATCCTTCATTCAACCAAAGGTCGGTCCACCATTTCATAGTAACGAGATTACCGAACCATTGGTGAGCAAGTTCGTGAGCGATAACTTCTGCTACTCTATGTACGTTATCAATTGTAGCCACGTCCGGATCAATTAACAATGCGGTCTCTCTAAATTAAGGTTCAATATGGTTTTAAAATTTTATTTGCAATATCTTCATTAACATATTTTTTGRTAAATTTGAACTGATYAAAGTTTTTACGATATATTTTACAGTTTTTGCCTTCTTCAGATTTTTTTTCATGTAATTATTGTAATTATTATTTTTCATATTTGATATCTTTAATTTTATCATATTACATTTAAATTAGCATTTAATGAGTTYTTGGTTCYGAAAGTTTTTTTTTTATAATGCATAAAGAACTTCTGTTCGTAAATTGTGTTTAAACTTTTAATAATTTGACGACTTGTGACTACTAATATAAATCAATAATATAAAATGTATACATTATTAAGTGCTAAATTGTCCAATGTGTATTCTGATAAAATAAATATGGTATTTTTAAATTGAACAGTCCTACACTTTATTATTAAATTTACAGTTACTACAGTTATTATGAAGATACAATCATTATTTAATAATTTAAAAAGCTATAAACTAAAACCTAACAATCCGAATAATAATAATCTAAAAAGAATTGAATTAGTAAATAGGTTATTGGCATATCACTGGCATATTAAAATTGTTATACATAATATGCATATASTAAGTGAGAAAAATTGATTTTCTGTAAAAGATTTAATAGCCATAATAATTATGTTTGAATCTTATGATAAAACACTTTTAAGAAGTTTATAATGTTTAAAATTAAATTTTTMTWTTTATTTTGGTTTTATGACATTATCACAGTATTTATGGAAACTTAATAATGGTAATAAGAGTAGATTCCCCGGTCCCTCTCKAGTCAGTGAGTTTGYTTTAKACAAATACATACTTCCTCCATCCAGAAATAATGTTAAGTACACCATTGTCTAATGTATATCATTAATTTAAATAAATATTTTTGGAGTTATATTACTAATTTTCATTAAGTGTTTTTCATTAAATATTTTAACAAGTTTTTGATTTGTTGGTGAGTGGTAGGAGGTGGGAAGGAGAGTATTGTATCATATGAGAATACAAACACAATGAAACAATTTGTATAGTCTAATAAATAATAAATTTACATAATTAAAAACAATTTTCACATACTGAATACTATAAGAAAGCAACTTATGAAGTTTTATAGTAATTTTAATTACATTTCAGGAGAAACCGCAATATTCGCGATTAGAACATTGAAAAACTAGCGAATGGATATTGTTCATTAGGTAATGTTTATCGTTAGATTTTATATACTCGTAATATCAGCAACTTCGATTTTTATCGAAAACTTCATTAAAAAGAAATTATTTTTAAAGATTGTATACATTATGACTATACATTGTGCATATTTTTCCAATTTTCTGTTTACATAATATAATATGCACATTGCCAGTGTTAGGACTTATCTAGATAAATTATCCAGATAATAATTATTTTATCTTTTATCTTATCTAGATAAATAAATATTAGTTATCTAAGTATTTATTTTAGATAAATATTTGACTTATCTAGATAAATTTAAAAGATAAATTTTTTAGTGAAAATTAGATAGATCTGTACCAAAAATATTATTAA